GAAAACTCAACAGTAAAGAAACAAGCTAATTAGAAGATGTATAAAAGACATGAACAGACATTTCACTGTAGAAGATATGCAGATGGCAAATAAAGACAGGCAAAGCTATTCAACATCATTATCTGTTAGGGAAATGCAAAATAAAATCACTCATCGGAATGGCTAGGACCTTTAGAAAAGTGACAACATCAATGCTGGCATGGATGTGGAGTAACTGTTATCACTCATATGTTGCTGGTGGCAAAGTAAAATGGTACAGCCAGTCTGAAAAAGATTGGCAGTTTTTTAAATAGTTAAACATGCAAATACCATACATCCAGCAATTGCATTCCTGGGGATTAATCCCAGATAAAATTAAAACTTATGTTCACTCAAAACCTGTACATAAACGTTCATAGCAACTTTACTCACAATAGCCCAGATCTGGAAACAACTCAGATGTTCTTCAACAGGTTAAATAAACTGTGGCACATCCATATCATGAAATACTACTCAGCAATAAAAAGGAACAAACTATCGATACACATCACAACTGAGATGAATCTCCAGAAAATTCTGCTGGGTGAAAAAAGCCAATTCCAAAAGATTATATGCTGTATGATTCTATTTATATAACATTTGAAAATTTCAAAGTTATAGAAGTGAAAAGCAGATTATTGGTTACCTGGGGTTAAGGAGGGGGCACGGTTGGCAGGCGAATGGGTATTCTACCAAGAGCCACACAACAGATGGTGAGGGAGCAGTCTTACTGTATTGATGTCCACATTATGTTTGTGATATTGTGCTGTGGTTTTTCAAGATGTTACCTTTGGGAGAAACTGGGTATAGAACACATGGAATCCCTTTGTACTGTTTCTTCTTGCATGTGAAGTTATAATTATTTCAAAATAAAAAGTTTAATTAAGAAATAGAATGTGAATAAAATTAAAGAAGCCTTTGGAATAAATTTTAATGAAAGAGTAAAGAAATAAAATACAAAAATTAATTTGCATTATGTAAAACTCTATTGCATATTATACCTGAAGTATACAAAGAAATCCGCCTGCATTTATGATGGCAAGTCACTAAAAACATAACATATGGTTCCAGTCAAAAGAAGAAACGAGCCTCAAAGTAATACCAAGTGATACCAACTAATCTAATGACATACAAAAACAAAAATTCATCATTATTAAAAACACACACAAAACCAAAACACAGCAAACAACAACATGACATTTACAATACATGGCATTATTAAAAAGCTACTAGGCTTGTAAAAAAGCATAAATTTTTCCATGTCAGAAGAAATAAAAAATAGAAACTCACACAGGCATGAGGAAACTAGTGGACTAATAAGTTAAAAAGAGAACATAATTTTATTCCAAACGTCCGAGAAGGCAGAGGAAAGCATGACCGTGATGAAAAGGGAAATGATCTAAGGTACAGAAAAAAAAAAAAAAAAACTAAGTGAAACGTTTATAAATAAAAAGTATTTCAAATTAAAAATAAAAACACTGGATTAAGAGCAGATTAGACATAGAATAAGAAAAGACAAGTGAATTTAAAGAAATAGCAGTAGAAATTATCCCAAATGAAGGACAGAGAAAAAAGAATGAAAAAGTAAACAAATTATCAGCAAACTGTGGGACAATGTCAAGTTCTCCAGCATTCATGTAAGTGGAGCACTAGAAGGACTGGAAAGAAAATGGAGAGAAAAATTTTTGCAGAAATATAGACAAAGACTTTTATATCAAATTTGATGAAAACTGTAAATCTATAGATCCTAAAAGCTTAACAAACCCAGGCAAAAGAAATGTAAGGGATAATATGTGCAGTTAAAATTTTCTGAAAATGAGTGATGAGAAAATCTTTCAAAAACAACATAAAAAGGATACAATAAACTAAAAAGGACAATGATATGAATTACAGCAGATATCTCACCAGAGACTATGCAAACCAGAAGACGATGGAGAGACGTATTTTAAAATATTGAAAAGCTGCTAATCTAGAATTTATCCAGCATTTCAAAAGCGAAGATAAAATAAAGATCTTTTTGAGACAAAATATATAATTCACTATCATCAGACTTGCACTACAAGAACTTTAAGAGGTGTTTCTTCAAAAGAAAATAATATTAGATGAAAATTTAGACATATAGGACAGAATAAAGAGTGCTGAGAATAGTAAACATGTAGACTGTTATAAAAATACATTTTAATTATTTTTTAATGTATAAAAAAGAATTGTTTAAAGCAATAATAATGATACTTGTGATAATGATGTATTATGAGATTTATGGCATATGTAGGACTAAGAGGTATGACAATAATATCACAAGAAAAAAGGTGTTATTGGAAGTACACTGTAATAAGATTATTATACTAAAACTGAAGTGGTAAAATATTTGAATAGGGACTGCAATAAATTAAAATTTCATAATGTTAACTCTAGAGCAACTAACAAAAAATAAAAGAGGAACAACTATTAATCTAGCAGTACAGGTAAAATGTAGTCATAAGAAGAAGCCAGCCCAGTGGTGCAGTGGTTAAGTTTGCATGCTCTGCTTCCATGGCCCAGGGTTCACCGGTTTGGATCCCGGGTGAGGACCTATGTACCACTTATCAAGCCATGCTGTGGCAGGTGTCCCACATATAAAAGAGAGGAAGATGGGCACAGATGTTAGCTCAGGGCCAATCTTCCTCAGCAAAAAGGGGAGGATCGACAGCAAATGTTAGCTTGGGGATAATCTTCCTCAAAAAAAAAGAGTAGTCATAAGAAAATTCAATGAATCCACAAAAGGAAGCAAGTAGGCAAAAAAGTAATAAAGAACAGATGGAAAAATAGATAAATAGCAAGAGTAGACTTAATCTCAAACATATTCATTAGTAGAGTAAAAGTAGATGAACAAAACTCCCCAATTAAAGACAGATACTGTTAGACTGGATTAAAAGAAAAAACAAGGCAAACATAGTATATCAATAATCTAAGTTAAACATAAAAACAAAGATAGATTAAAAGTAAAAAGATTTAAAAAGGCTAAATGCAAACATTAATCAAAAGAAATATGGAGTAGTTATATTAATATCAAAGTACTACTTCAAAACAAGGATTATTACCAGAGATAGATAGGGACATACCATAATAATAAACAGCCTACAAAAATCCTAAATGTGGGGCTGGCCCTGTGGTCTGGTGGTTAAGTTTGGCAGGCTCCACTATGGTGGCCCAGGTTTGGTTCCCAGGCATGGACCTATACCACTTGTTGGTGGCCATGCTGTGGCAGCAACCCACATACAAAATAGAGGAAGATTGGCACAGATCTTAGCTCAGGGCCAATCTTCTCCAGTAAAAGATAAAAATTTTAAAATCCTAAATGTGTAGGCATGTAATAAAAATGCTTCAATGGGCATGAAGCAGAAACACGGAGCTAGAAGTTGAAGTAGACAAATCCTTAATTATGGTTGAAGATTTCAACAACTCCTTCTCAGGAATTGCTCAAGCAATTCAAAGAAAATTAAGCATTTGGAAAACCTGAGACCAAATTGACCTAATTGATCTTCATAAAATGCTCCATTCAACAACACGCTCCTGAGGTCACATGGAATAGTCAAAAGACAGATCATACAATAAGCCATAAAGTCAGCCTCAAAAATTTTAAGGGGATTGAAATCATGCAAAGTAACTTCTTTGATGACGATGAAATCAGTAACAGAAAGACACATGGAAGATCTTCAGAGACTTGGAAATCATAACCAACCCAGGAGTCAAAGTAAAAATTAAAGAGAAATTATAAAATGTTTTCAACAGAATGAAAATTAAAAATCAACATAATAAACTCTGGATTTCAGCTTACAGCTAAAGCAATGTTTAAAGAAAACTTTAGAGCATTAAATGCTTGTATTAGAAAGGAAGAAAGGTCTTAAATAAAATGATCTCACTTTATACCTCAAGAAACTAGAAAACTAAGAACAAATTTAATTCAAATAATAAGAGGAAAGGGTTTTTTTAAGCAGAAATCAACAAAATTAAAAACAGAGAACTGAAAAAGAAAATCAGTGAAACTAAAAACTGGTTTATGAAAATATCAATAAAATTGATAAATCTCTAGCCAGACTGATCAGAAAATAAAGAGAAAATATGTGAAATATCAATACCAGGAATGAAAAAGGAGACATTACTACAGATCCTCTACAAAAGGCAAAGATAATAAGGAAATATTGTGAATCACTTCATGACAATAAATTCAACAACTTAGTTGAAATGGAAAAATTTCTTGAATGATACAAATTGTCAATATTTAAATGAAAAGAAACAGAATATTTGAAACTGATATATTTATAAAACTCTCTACTTGAAGCCCTATATTTAAATTGTAGATGAAATTGGATTTACAGTTGAAAGACTTTCTCACAAATGAAACCCCAGGCTTAGATGGTGGCATTAGTGAATCTAAAAAGCATATAAGGAAAAAAATAATATCAATTCTACACAAACTCTTACACAACATAAAAAAGAACAGAGTACATCCCAATTCATTTTATGAGGCCAGCATTCCTAAAACCAGACAAAGGCATTACAAAAAAAAATACCAACTTTTTGGTAGTATCCCTCATAAACATAGACATAAACAAAGACCCTCCTTCCATGCAACTTTCTAAAGTTTTCCTAGAATTGATCACTTCTTCTTAGTCACATTTACAACTTTCTGTCATTTATTATAAACTGCTGTTCACACATGTGCCTCTGGCAGAGAATTTCAGGGTAGTTGCCCAGCTCTTGCATGTAGAGTTGCCTGGTAAATATGCCTGTCATTCTTTTGATGCTAAGCCACAGGTGTATGTTAGGTTTCCTTGATGATGAGGTGTTTCCTGTAAGTACAGTCTGACTTAGGTTTAGATTTGTGGCCTCAGCTGGACCCCCGGGGCAGCCTCCGTTTTGTGGATCCCAGTATACAAATTAATTTTACCAGTATGTAAGTATGTAGATCTTTTTCCTTATGTTTTTCATCTTCCCTCAAGGTGTCACATTTGCTTTCCAAGCAAGAAGCAGGAAGGAAGAAAACGAAAGTGGAAAAGAAAGAGCACTGTATCAGGAAAGCAAAAGCTTTTCCAGAACTCTCAGCTTCCAAGTCTCACTGACTGCAATTGTGTCATATGGCAGCCCTAGCAGAAATGGCGTCTGGGTGAGTATTTTCAGCTGGGAACATTGCAGCCCGTGCAAACCTGAGATTCAACTAAAAAGCAGAAGACAAAATGAATATTGAGTAGGTCACCGGCAGCGTCAGTCACAGTTGTCCATTTCTAGTTTTTATAACATTGCCATCAGATAATATCTGAACCATTTCTACTTTCAGAACTTTGTTTTCGTTGTGGCTTAACATATGATCAATCAATACATATCTATTTCACGTCTTGAATAATTTGACTTTCTATACTTTTACTTGTTTTTATTTACTTGATATATCGTAAGCTAAGAAAGGTAAATTAAAGTTTACTTGTTCTTTTGTGTTTTCATCTGTTTATTTTCTGTTTTAATGAGTTTTTCCATATTTTGTGCGTTAACATTCAGGATAGACCTTCATGGTAGGTTGTAATCTTTATCAGTACACAGTGTTTATCTTTAATAGTTTTTACTTTTAGTTAAAACTTGCTAGACATGAATTTTACAACTCTGCCTTATTTTTATTTGCATTTCCTGGTAAATCACCACCTCTTCTATTAAAGTTATCCTTTGTATGTCTGTGTTTGGATATATTCCATAAATACTCACATCTTCTCTCCCCACTCAAACTCAATGTTTTGGCAGTTTATTATTAGCATATTTTATGTTTACATTCTGTTTTCTAATCATACTCTCCAGTTACTCAGCTTTGCGTCTCATTTCAGTGAATTCGATGCTGTCACCAGTCTTCTCCTTTCCTTTCTTCCGTTCTCATTTCCTCTCTCTCTCTCGTCGCTTCTCTTCCTCCTGCCTCTTCCCCTTTCTCTCCTTCCCTTCCTCCTGCTCCTCCGTCTTCACCTAAAATCTCTAGTGATCTCCTGCTTGCCTACAGCTTATTCTCTCACAGGCTTTTTGAGGACTACTGGGGCCTATACACCTTGAGTTCTTGAATGCTTGAGAAGACCTGCCTGTTGTCTTTCTACTTGAATAGCAGCTAGGTTGCATATAAACATCTTGACTCATATTTTCATCTCTAACTTTGTAAACATTGGTCCATTGCGTTTCCCATTTGAACGCTATAAAAACGTCTGGGGCCACCCTGCCTTTTCGCCTTAGAGAGAACTTGATTTTCCCCTAGGTGCCACGGAATCCTCCCTATTAACTTCAGCAAAACATGTGAGAGTAGTCTTCTTCTGAACTTGTTTTCCTGGGACATGATGTACTCTTTCAATCTGTGGATGCCAATCTGTTTGTAAAACAAAAATCCAAAATTTAAAAATATCATTTTAAATTTTTGCCTACATTTTCTCTCTTCTCCTTTCCAGGCACAACTATGATTATATGAGCTATCCTTTATCTGTCTTCACTACCAACGATTTCTTCTATAACCATCTGTAATTTATTTCTTTTCTATTTCATTTTGCTCATTCTCTGAAACTTACTTTTTATGTCTCAGAATGTGTCTTTTGCCATATATATTTTTTGGCTTCTGGTAATAAGAGTCTTGTTTCCATAATGATTTTGATTGTTTTCTTACTTTTATGATCTCTACTTTGAGGCCCTACATTTCTCCTTTGAGTTTTTCTCTCAGAAAGGTCACATTTTTGTTAATATCTTTGCATCCGAAGAGAAGTATTTGTTTATACATTTCTTTACCTTTGTGGCATCATTTTTTCTGGTATGTATTCTCCACGTGCCTTTGACTTTTTATATTCTAACTCTCCACTTGTGTTTGGAATCAATCTACAAAGCTCACGTGCATTTTGATGACAATTTTTCAATGAGTCACCCATTTGCAGGGTGGTGGTGGAGAGGGATGGAGGATTGAGCTTGAGTGGCTGGAGGTCTGGGTCTGAGCCCATTACTTCTGAGCGCTTTCTCAACAACACCCTCCACCAGAGGTATGACGTCATCAGTTTTACGTTTTCTGTAAGGTGATTTCAGCTTTATTCTCTTGAGCTCTCCAAGACTGGTATCTGTAGGGCAGTATTCCCCATCCACCCTCTATATCAGTCACCCTCTTCTTTCAGAGATGCGACCACTATGATGTCCCTCTTTCACTTCTACCTCCCCTCTTTTTCATCGAGCCAAACAGGGCAGTAGAAATCTCCTAAAGGCCACCAAGTCACCCCCATCTTGTCCACCAGCATTTTCTACCTGCTCTGGGGAACTCATCCCTCTGTCCACTGTGCTCCAGGCTTGTGGAGATGCCCCATCTCCCCGACTGTCCTTCCTTGCCCTGAATGTGACTCAGTCATTGGTAGTTACATCCTTAAAGAGTTTTTAGTGCTGTGAGGGAACGTTTTGGGCAAAATAACAAACGATAAAACAGGACACAAAAATCATATAATTAGAAATGGACAGAAATTATCAAAATAGTAATGACGGTTATTATTTCTAAATAGCAGAATTATGGATGATTGTCATTTTTTATATTTTTAAATTTCCTACAAAAGCTACATAATTATTTGTATAACCACAAAAATATAATGCATTAAAAAAAGGATTGCTGCCTCTTGTCTCAAGCAAGTTCTATATATTTTTACCAAATGCAGGCCTAAGTCCCACTCCAGCCCTTGAATGGACATGCTCCACTTCCTCAGTCCCCGATGGATCAAACGGGCTCTAACACTGAAACCAGATTACCACAGAGCTCTTCTGAAAAGTCAAGAAATAGTGAATAGAAAACATCTCGAGCTTGCCGTGGAGGAAAAATCATATGATCATTATGAGAGCCATTTCCGACCTCCTCAGACAAATCGTTCATGCCTAGCTTGTCTGCCTTTTGCTAAGTTGAACCTCTGACACGAACTTTCCTCGCTGGCAGAAGCACTGCAAATGGACACAGAAATCTGTTTCTCAAGAACAGAACTCACCGCGGGTGGTGCTAGACAGCCTCCTGTCAACGCTTTGAGCACAGATCCCTCCTTGCTTAGTCTCACCTTTCCCAGGAGAGCTGAATGCAGAGGAATTCCAAAAGCCGGATGCCTGCACTGTTCAGAAACACGACATACCCACGGGGAAACAGCCAGATGGAGGCTGAGGAACAGAAGCTATGCATGTGACCAGTGTCCCTTCAGAACTAAGGCCTCCTGCAGTTTCTGCATCAGACATTAACAGAGACATAGGAGCTGAAAGAAATTGGGGCAATTTGTGAACTAAACTGAATGTTCCAGCATTTAAATGTACCTGAAATACCCTGTCACGATACACAACACGCACAGATACACTTGCATAAAGTTTATAGAAATACAGGTTTCTGCTCAATCTAAGGACAATTTCTTTAACACGTAGAGAGTCTGTAAATGATGTGGACTGGCTGATGCTAAAAAGAGTCAAATGAAATGACTTAAATGCCTCATTGGTACCCAGAGTTGAGTCTGTAGTATCTAATTCTTCAATGGACAATCTGCCTTGACCTACCTACCTAATAAGATATCTCTAAATGTTATATTCAATCACTTTAACTATAATAAACCAATTCACCCACGTATTGCCCTTCAATACAAACCACCAAATCACAGAGGAAGACCAAAGGCAAAGGTCATCTCTAAATTATCTCTAAAGATTTTTTAGAAGGCCTAATTGTAAACAAAGAAGAGATTGAAAATTTTTAGAAGACTGTAGATGGCCGAGACTCCAACTGTTGGATCTCTGCCTGGATTTTCTGTGCAAAAACATTGAGTTTTAAATTTGAACTACTGTTTATGAGTGGGGGAAAAAAAAAAACACTTTCAAAATGCACCTCATGTCATTAGATTAATTTGCCATGCACCTCGGGCAATTATATTAGTGGTAAAGCTATTCTTCCAGACCTTGTCCCCTAGCAGGCACTATAATTAGAGAAAGCCTACATCCCTACAGACAGAACCTCTGCAGACTGGAAGGCAGAGCCCATCACGTTAGCCCCAAGCACCTCTGACTCTCTCTCTGTGCTGAGAACGAGGCGAACGTGCACTCTGAAAATTAACACAGCCAGAAAGGAAACATCCCACAGGGCGAATCAATACCCAGCAAAGGATAATGGGATTCCTGTTCAGGCAGCTGTGTCCTGCCCCCTCCCATTAGCACCTGTCAGCCAGAGCAGTCAGGGCCGGTCAATGGGCAACTCGCCTTACAGCTCAATTCTCAGGATGATCATTAGCTCCAGCCGACGCCGAGGCACCCCACGCTGCCAAATAGTGTCCTTTTCTCCTTAAATGCAGACAAACAATGCCTTCTCCTCGAACAGCTGGCACAGACCTTGTTAATCTTTCTTGTTTCACTTCTGTTTTGCCCTTTGCACAGTGTGTAAGAAGAGATCGACGGGAAGGTAGAAATTAGGTTATTCAAGTTAATTTCAGGACCTGCGCTACTCAGGGACTTAGAACCCATCTAGGCTGGCATGAGTCACTTAGAGGTAATCACAGGATGGAAATAATGCTCCCCTGATCGTGTCAGCTGGTAAATGATCAGCATCTACCCTTTGGAGCATTTTTATAACCATTTGCTAAAAAGAGTACTGAAAGATCCCACATGGCTAAAAATCTCTCCCTCCCCCTACCCCTCCCTCTCTCCCTTCCATCCCTCTCTCCCTCAGTCCTTCCTCCCTCACTTCCTTCCTTCCATCTTTCCTCTCTTTCTCTCTTTTTTTCCTACCCTCCTTTCAACCCAAAGTAGAAGTGGATAGCCATTGAAATGAAAACTGGGCACAGATAGCAATCCTGGAGAGGGATGAGACTGAAAAAACAATGCTTCTGGTCACAGACAGAGTTAAATGCATCCTGCAGAGGATCCAAAACTAGAGTCTAGGGCCAGCTAGGCCTGAGCACTTGTCCCTATAGGTCAGGCTGCTTTAGAAATGTCTGTATAATAAGGGGTCAGGAATTCTAACATCTTCCAGAAATTCAAAATAAACTGAGATTTTTACCCAGATATTTTATACCCTATCCAGGAGAATTGTGAAGATTCTTCTAGACAAATTCAGCAGTCAATTCAATGTTTTCATTTTTGCCTTTTTCAACAGACTGGATTTTCCTCTTAGTATATGGACTTATAACTCAACCCCATTCTATTCTTAGGACAAATCAAGTCATTTAGTAATTGGGAGGAAAAAGGCAAAATTTCAGAATATATTATACAATAATAATTTAATCACTCTCCCCTTCAAGTATTCACTCATTCAGTCCTTCACAAATATTTACTGAGCTCCTGCTTAATGCCAGATCCTTGCATGCAAAAGGAGATCCCACAATTTAGTTGGGGGAATCTACTTGGGGACAGGAAGGGAAGAGAAGAGAAGGGTAGTTACTTTCACCAAATCTGGTCATTTCTAAAGAGCTCTGAAAATCAGAGATAAAAATCCTCCAGTCTTCTACTGACAGCATAGACAAGCTCCAAAGCCAACCTGTCTCCACCATGAAAGTTTCTGCATCTGCTTCTCTCTCTCTTATTAAAAGAGTAACGCACGTTCATTATAGAAAGCATCAATAAGAAAAAGAAACATTTTTTAAGTTGCCTGTGATCCCCATCCAGAGTTTGGTAATTATCATTCGTGTGTGTGTGTGTGGCATGTGTATATGTGTGTATATATGGTGTGTGTGTATGTGTACACTTTCTCTTGTACCTTGAACTATCCAAAATTGCTGATATCAAAATATTTTGACATACGAAACAGTAATTTCATATAGCCCCATCTATTGTTGTAGATAGATTTAAGGAAATGGGACCATGGCATACATACTATTTGTATACTCATTTTTTTCGTTTAATTGTATAACGTAATCTCCTTTGACTGACATTGAACATTCTAATAGTTTAAAATTAAACAAACTATCCAAAATAATTTCCAATGGCTCACCATTTTCCATTATATGGATGTAAGATAAATGTTTAATTATAGCAGACTATTTAAAGAAGATCTTTCTGATTTTCCACATTTTAATATTTTTACAAAAAGTAACCACATCTCAAGCTTCTTCCAGTCATGTCACTGATGCTTTGAAGTCAAGCGCGAAAGATGTGCCCTCCAAGGGAAGAACAAATTAAGCCCAATTTTTGAATAATGCCAATAAATCAAAGACTCTTAGTACGTACACTTGACCCTGATCTTCAACAAAATTAGTTCTTGCAAACAACAGCTTGTACTGCCTAAATATTTACCTTCCACCATCACTAAGATATACACTGCCATCTATTTGTTGAAATATTCTTCCTGATTTAATAATGTCCTTCCACCTGGGGACACCTACACTGCCACACACTCACGGGGCAGTGCTCTCTGAGCCCTGAAAGCACCACTGAACACATAGGCTATCGTACTCCTCCCCAGCTGCCGGGGTAGAGTGGGACCCTTGTGAATAAGACTGCAAAAGGAGATGGGGTCACACAAAGACAGAAAAGGAGGAAACTTTGATTTGGAAAAAATTTCTGGGATCATCCATTTGAAAATCTGAAATAGAGCAAATTCTTCTGTTTCATTAAGGCAAAAACTTCAGCATTGTACAGCGGGGGAAATGCTGCAGAGCGAATGCATCCCAACCCTCCCCAGGACATCTTACACGGAGATGAATCACCAGCCTTCCATATGCTCTGCCTTTTTTCACCAAGCACACGACGGAAAGCAACCCAGAAAACCCCCACCAGCGTCACACCACCCCTCGACCAGCCCTATCCATTTTGAAAATGGTGGAAATGGGAATTCCAGTGGTAGCTTTCATGTTCCTGCCATGATATGTTTTTAAATGGTTTAAAATAAAACATGAAATTCTTTTAAGCAATTTCAATTCCAAGAAACTATAGAGAATGAAGATCCTGAAAAATGATTTTTCCTCAGATAGCTCTCTAGGATCCAATTTGAATTGAAAAGTGTTTATTTGCTGAGTTAAATTCACCCTATATGTCCCTATACATGGAGGGATTGTAGCCAAATAGCCTGAAACCTCTGTAGCAGATATAATCTGCCTTTTCTTTCTCTCTGAAGATAGCATTCCTGATTTTCTGCGTTCCAAGCCACAACATGTTTCCTTCAAACCTTTTGAGGCTGGTTCTGGTGCCCTTTCTCTGTCTCATCCAGAAGTGGGAAGAAAAGGCTCAGCTGTTTGTAAATAGAAGGCAGCAACTGAGAGAGACTTACAATCATTTGCACATTGATAATATTTGAATTTGAAATTTCAAAGAGCTTTGCAAACTTACAAGCTTGATTTCCCTTATTTTTATTAGAAAGAAAACTGGCACACGACTGCTCAAGATAGCGAGTTAACTGCAAAGTTGATAGTGGAAGTAGTAAGTCCTGAGGCTTCTTCCTGAGCTCCCTGTAAGTCACCGAGCACAGAGACTGCATCATCGGGGCCGACCCGCTGGCAGACCAGCACGTGCATAAACCTTTGCAAGCACATGGAAATCATTGCTGGTTCTAGAAAAAGTCTTTTGTTGTCCACAAGATGATTGATCACATGTTCACAGCTGGAGATTAAACAGACCCAAAGACGTAGTGGTCACTGCCTTTTGCCATCATTCCAAAAGCGTGATAGACGGGGACACCAGAAACCTCTCCTTCCGCATATACCCAGCGGCTCCTCATACCCGCCCTCTACTGAATGCTCATTACTAATTATATTTTAAAATGTCAAATGTTATTTATTTTGACATTAGAAAAAATGTCCTCTGAGAGTGAAAACAGTATGTTTAAAGATGAACAAGCCTGATAGTAAGTTTACAGCTTTGAAAGTCAACAGATTTCTCCCTTTGCCCTGCTGGTGGGTTTTCAAGTCTTCTGCTGAAAGAAGAAGTAATGTTGGTCTTCAGAGGTGATGCTTCAATACACTAACCAAAACTTAAACCAGCGCTCACATAGCAACCTTGCTGGCTTCTAGGAGATCATACAAATAAACACAAACAGCCACATGCACATTGTGGAAAATCAATCAATATATACTGGATACTGTAATTTGGCAGATATTGGAAAACAGCCATCATAACTCCTTGGAGAAGCCCCCCACCCCTACCCCCTCTCCCCCAGGCTAAGCAGCCAAGTTCCTTCTTCTGTGGCTCATACGTCACCATCTTGACACTGCACATTCCTAGTGAGCTCTTCCAGCCACAGTACTAGTTGCCCTTCCTGCAGCCTCAGAGCTTCTCTCTTCTGTTAGAAAACCACGAGCGCATAGGTACAGTGAAGCCCCCTCCAGGGTGCAAACACTGGAGGGGAGTAACCCAGGCGCTAAAGCACGTCGCTTGGTTGTTGCAGCTGTAAGACATCCCACTTCCTCACAGCCATCTCACTTCGACCCCGACCTCACCCACTAACGAAAGATGGTTTTCATGGCTCAGTGCAATCAGCACCAGACTAGAACTCCAAGGATTCAAGGTCTAGTCCAGCCTCTGCAACTATGCATGTTTCATGCGCTCTGGGAAACTGTCTAATCTATGTGGACCATGGTTTCTTCATCTATAAAATTTCCTCATCAAGAAAGGATAGCAGTGATTCCCCTTTCTGAGGTTAAAGACCACTTTGAGAATCCAACAGATTCTTCAGTCCCTTTCCCTATAAAAAAAAATGTGCATAAAGGGGGCTGATTCGATAGCTTAGTGGTTAGGTTTGTGCATTCCACTTCAGAGGCCTGGGGTTCACAGGTTTGGATCCCAGGCAC